ATTGTCAGAGATCTAGTTCTTATGGTTGCATATAAGTTCAGTACTTTACATGCTTGTACAGATAAATTTTGAAAACAGTAATAAAATTGTTGAACTCTCCCCAGACTGACTTCTATGAGCACTTTTTGAAGAATTAACAGTAGACAGATACAAGTATTTTCAGGACAAGAATGTCAATTCTTCCTAGTACAGTTTCATTTATTTCATGGCCAGCTTAGGCACAACTGTGACATATGTAAAGTTTCTCTTTTAGGATTTTTTTCTCTCTCTTTCTTTTAGGACCACACTTTGGTCAAAATATTTTCTGGGCACCTAGTACACACTTAGGCCTTTCTCACTCCCCCTCGCCTTCTTAATGAAACCCAGTTTTCATAAGTTGTCCTTTGGAAAGCCTTAAGTTAATTCATGCTAACAAATTTCTCAAACTGAAATAGGTACAATTATAGAGTTTCAGGTTTTAAATAGAGGATAATGTTTCACTTTAAAATTGAACGCCTTCTAGGTTCCCCAAATCATGAAAAACCCAGCCTCATCCTATGTGGAAAGGTGTTGCTGGAAGTTTTCAATGTTTAGTCAAATTTGAGTGAATAGTTATCAGGGATATTCCTTAGTAATCAGGAGGGCTTATACAAACATAGTTTTGATTAAACTAACTTGGATTTATAAATAATCTATTATATTTCAAAATATATTTTTTAAGTATTTATAGCCAGAAATAAGGTGTACTTTCAATTAGAGTAAGAAATAGACTGTCATAAACTTAGCCTGCTCTTCAGGGCTCAAGAATTACCTCTCAATGAGTGTTTGCAGATCAATATGTATTTCATAATTGAGAGATCTTTTGGCCTCCTTTCTTTCATGGAATAAGGCTTTGATGGGAAAGTGGTCTGTTTTTCTGTTACTATCCTAAAAGGGAAAGAAAAGAGAAAAAAATACTCTATTCTTATAAAAAGTTAAACTGAGGGACTAAAAGCATTCCAGGGATAAATAAATGACAGGTTAAGGAGACAAGCATATGTCCTCAAAAGCAAAGATCAGGAAAAGCCAGTGGAAAAAGACTACAATGTGGAACAGTCCTTAAAAGAAGATTGGAGACGTTTTTCTGAAATCTAGGCTAAGGAACATTTAAAATAAATCCTACAAGAATGTTTGCATCACTTCAAATCTCTCTCTAGAACTCACCTCTTAGTTCCATTATACTGCTTAATTTTATAATTTGTGTTATGTTGACGAAGCATTTCAGTAGTAGAAAAAAAGAAGTAGGATGCAGCCCAGATCTCATATACTGGTTCTACACCCTAGTGGAGAAGACGGAGGAAAGGTAGAGTCAAACCAAGAGACTTACAGATTCTGGTGAGCCTGAAAGAGAGACAGTCTAAGTCACCATCTAAATCAGATACAGCATATCAAGGGCAAATTTCTAGACCTGAAGACCATGGTAACTGTGTATAAATTGGTAACCGGGTGGGAGAAAGCAAGCAGAGGAACACTTGATAGCTCCACAGGGCTGAGCATGTGGCAGGGAAGCCTTATTTCTCTCAGCTCTTCCCCCTTATCATGAGAGCCTGAAAACCCCTGCATTCGCACTCCAGCCCTCCTGTGGCAGCTCTAAATTGCAGACATAGTGCCTAAACAGAGGTAACGGGCCTCTCAAGATCTGGCCTAGAATCTCCAACCCTAAGTCTGAATGCAAATAGAACAAAAGCCAAATAAGAAGTCTGGAGACTACTCAACTAGCCTAGAAAACACCTGAACCATTATTTATGCTACAAACACATAAATTTAAATATTCAAAAAGAAATTAAGGAAGGGTACAGACAAACAAATCACTTTGTTTTCCTTTAAAAGGAACATTCCATAGAGTAACAAATCATCTTGGGACAAATGGCAAAGAAATTATGTGCATACTGAAAACAGGTTTGCATTGTATAATATTGTCAAAGTTTTCCTCTGACCTTTCAAAGTAGAATATAACCGGTAGAATAAATGATTAATAAGAGTCTATTTAGTGACTACGCCAGTGATTGAATGAATAATTTGATTGAATGAATAATTGAATGAATCATTGATTATGTCAATGATTAAATGAATTAATCAATGAACAAACCGATTTTCCTAGGCTTCAACCACAAATAAAAATTCACTGTACCTAAAGGGTATTTATAGCTCACTTGCTTTCTATTTAAATCCAGACTCAGAGGAGAGGTTACATAAGTTGCCTCCAGTGCTCACTACAGCCATTTCTTAAGTCTTTATTATCTACTCAATATTCAAATGACAACCAGCGCTCTTATAAGCTACCAAAGGCAACACCATTGCTAAATTCAGTTCCATCTTTTTCTCAACCCACACCTAGTTTTCTGAAGCAAGTGATAGAAATGGACACAATTCTTTAAATTTCTAAATTGCTATATTAATAGTAATTATGAATCTCAGAATTGAAGTGAACTTGAGATGTAACTTACTTTAATTTTCTATAGCTCAGTTTAAAAGCTGTCTTAAGCCTCTCTTCTGCTTAGGGTATGAAAATGTATTTTCAACCAGTTGTGAATGTCACCCAGTGCCACTCTTAGATGTTCTGGTAATATTTAAGCCAATTTGAGTCCCTAACTACCTATCATGCAATCATTTTTTTCTCTGGACTTAACCCAAGAGGTAGACAGAACTTTGGTTCATGTCATTTACCTTTCAGATCAGGTGAGAGGAATAGGAAGCAGAGTATCGTTTTGGTAAGGTCCTATAAATTCTTTTTTAAAATTCATTTATTCATATGTGCATACATCGTTTGGGTCATTTCTCCCCACTGCCCCTCCACCCCCTCACTATAAATTCTGATTACAATGTTCTTTCCTTTGCTTCTCCCTCATCCCAATCTAGAGAATCTTCAGGAGTTGAGTAAGAAGTAGCTTTGTGTTTACTTAAACAGAGTTAAACCAACCACTGTCTATGCTATGATGTCCAAAATAATTTTTTTTGCTCTCTGTTGTATTATACTTTTCTTACTTCTCTGTTGTATACATACTTAATGTCACTGCAGCTTGGTTACAGGCTCTGGTTTTACTGAAAAAATAATTTAGGGCAGACAGAGGAAATTTAACAGAGTGAAGTTTATGAAAGCAAAAGTGGAAAGTACACTCTGAACATAGGATGAGGACAGGCAACCTAACCTAGCAGCCGAGTGCCCCAAGCTCTCAGGTCTTTGGCCTTTTTATGGGCAGCAGGAAGTTAAATATGTTAATATTATGTACTTAATTGTGGAGCTTTCTTTAGGAATGGGAGAACTACTCCAGGAACCAGAGGATAGGGAGTGATTTAACCAAGAGGGCAACTGGAGGTGAGGTGCATGCATTAAACTACAACAATGATTAAGTGTACCTGAGGTCTGTGGATCACCAATAGTTTTGGGAAAGACCCTGCTATGGCCATTAATTTGTGTATCAAAAAGAAGTTCTACCATAACACTAGGATTGTTTGTGAAACAGATGTTTGACAAGAAGTACCCAGATGTAGAACTGAACTTGTGTTTTGGCTCCTTTTGACTCATTGTTCCTTTCTTCCCTGTCTACCCCATGTCACTTATCATACTTATATGCATATCTGATGTTATACTTATTAAATATCTCTGAAGTAAAATTATTTATTATAAAGTGTTTATTCAATGTATAACAATAGTGGTCTCCAGAAATTGTAGCAGTTGTAATAAACTATCAGCAATCTGAGTCACATTTCTCTACATCCTTGTCCTTATACCACATTTAAAAATAGTTACTATCTTTTTAAAAAATAAATAGTTGCCATCTTTAACTTAAAAGTGGAATATTTTGTGTTGATCTATGTTTCTTTCATTATTTGTGAAAGTGAACATCAGTCTTCTCATAGGTTTTTGGACCATTTGTATTTTTTTTGTGTGTGTTTATATATGTCACACACTCATTTTGCTTAGACCTTTATTGTAAGAGTTTTCCCATGGAAAATACTAATAAGTTGATAGATATGCTGCAAGTTTTTCTAGGTTTTTTTTCCCCTTTTTGTATTTGTTTGAGATTTAGAAACTTAAAAATTTATAAATCTGGGCTGAGTGCCTGTGGTTCACTCCTATAATTCTAGCTACTTGGGAAGCTGAAAGCAGGAGGATCATGGTTAGAGGCTAGCCAGGGGAAATAGTTTGCCAGACCCCATCTCCAAAATAACCAGGCATGGCTGGAGGTGTGGCTCAAGCAGTAGAGCACTTGCTTTGCAAGAGCAAAGCCCTGATTTCAAACCCCAGTCCCACCAAAAAAAAGTAAATTTGATCTTGTGGTTTCCCCCACCTTGGTATTTTTATTTAAGAATTCCTTTTCCATTCCATGATAATGGACATTCACCATGTTTTATTTTAATGGTTTGTGCTTTTTTTACATTAAACATTTTAAACAATACATTTTATTTAGCATAGAGTATGAGATTTGGGTCTCCGCTATTTGTATTGTTTAGTTGTTATTTGTTCTAGCATCATTACCTAATAATTTCTCATTGACTTAAATTCCACATTTATCATATAATAAAGTTTTATATATGATGAATCTCCTTGTGGAATCTCTGCTATGTTCTACTCCCTCATGTTATATCAGTAAAAATGACTTTAATCATAGATTCTTAATAAATTTTAAGATCTGATGGGAAGAATCCCTTTTTATTACTTTTTTTCCCAAAATTTTCTTGACTAGTGCATTTACTCTTCCAATGTTTTTGTTGTCATTTAAGTCTTCTTTCTTTTCACTGCTCCCTTGAACTCCCATCTGATCCATTCTGCATCGTAATGCAGCCGTACTAGCTTCTAATTCAGCCACAAGCATAATAATTAATGGCAATGGTGGTATTACATCTCATTTTCCATGTCTTCTAGAACTTTCAGAGCTTGCATTTTTTAACAGGGTATTAATCTCAGTTTTGTCTGTCAGTCTCACAGGGATAAGAACCTTTAAACTCTCCCCATTAAAGAAATGTTCTTGTGTTTTCAGAGTGTAGAAGGAGAACACCATGAAAAGGCTGTGGAACTCCTCAAGGCTGCTAAGGACAGCGTCAAGCTGGTGGTCAGATACACCCCAAAAGTCCTGGAAGAAATGGAGGCTCGCTTTGAAAAGCTCCGGACAGCCAGGCGTCGGCAGCAGCAGCAATTGCTTATTCAGCAGCAGCAACAGCAACAGCAGCAACAAACACAGCAAAACCACATGTCGTAGGTGAGAAGAGCCTTAATCTACACAAGGAAGGGCTCTTTTATGTGCACCATCTTGTTCTGTCAGATAGCTCTGAGACAGCTGAAACAAAATCATGACAATTAATAGTACAAACGAAATCAGTCAAGCAAAAGACAGTGATCTCAAAAATATAAATTGGGGATGACTTCTGTATTTGTCATTCAGCTATATTCTCCACAAATGTAAAATATTTGGAGAAGAATATACTTTGGAAGGGGCAAGTACAGAGTCTAGGAAGCCTTGATACAAGTTAGAAAGTGTCCACCCAGATCTATGTGAGAAGAGTTCCCACTCGTCCATTTGGCAGTGGCTTTTGTACATTTTTGTACAAACTGCACAACCTTACAGTGCTGACCCTGGGAAGATCTCCTTTAGAATACTGGGATACAATTTAGTGGGAAACTGCTGCACTTGGAAAAATGAAATAGCAGCCTGCCAGTGCCCATGATCTGAGAGATTTTGAAGTTTTTTAGTTATTCATTCAAAATGTATTGGATTCTTCTGTCTTCTAAATTTCACTTTGTGGCAAAAAATGCTAATTCAAGTTTTACTATGTATTCTCAAGAAAATTATAGAAAAAAATTTGGTTGTAAGAGGTACCATCTTTGAAGTGCCTACTATGTGCTAGTCTTATCACACATTAGCCCCAATCCTCTGAAAAACACAAGCCAAGTATCATTGAAATCCCATTTTTCTGGATGAATAACCCAAAGCTGTTCCAGCTTCAGTGGATTCCCTATTGTAACTTAAACTTACAAGTAGTATGGGATTCTTGTTTTTAATTCCCCTACCAGGCACTTCATCTGAATTGTATAAACTTTCCTTGCTGTTCTTTAGAAAAGATAGTTTATAACATTAGATAACCTTTATGTGATTATGTCTGCAAGTGTGTATTTGAAAGGAGGCTAAATGTTCTTGGAAAACTGATAGAGTGATGGTGGCTTTCTCTTCAGTTTACTCTTTGCACTACCAGAAACATTGGTTCTATCATGTGGTTTTCAATTTTTTGTAACATGCATGAAAAGGAGAGGCTACACAGGGACATTTTTTAAATGTATGAGATTTGTCTGACATTCCTGGAAATTCAGTAATCTACTTCTTTCATAGTCTGGTAGTTTTATTACATATGCTATATGTTTTATCTTTACCTGAAATACATTGCATTCTAAAAAGTGTATTTGTTCAACAAAAGATATTTCTTTGGTACTGCTATGGCCAGGCACTGTTCAGTGAGTTTCAGAACTAACATGAGCACAGGCCTCACTTTCATTACATTCTGTTTGGAGGAAATAATTAATAACAAAAATTAAAACATCCCATTGTGACCAGTACTTTGTGGAGTTAAAATAAGACTATTTGAATAGGGAATGACAGATGATAACTTTAGACTGGGTTGTCAGAGAAGATCTCAAAGGAGATCACATTTAAAATGAAACTGAATGACAAGGGGAAGGCACAAAGAGAGAGCAATAAAAAGAAACAGCTTGGTGCAGCAGTGCATGAACTATTTGATGTTTGAGGAACAGACAGAAAATCCAGGTAGTTAGGAAAGAGTGAGTTAGGACAGGGTAGGTTATAAATTCAATGAGATAGGTAGGGCCAGGTCATAGAGAGCTTTGCAAACACTCAAAGAAATTAGATTTTATTGCAAGGGAAGACACTAAAGATTTTTAAGAAAAAAACATAAATGCTACCTTAGCCATTATTAGAGTAGATTGTTGCAGAATTCAAGTAGAAGGGGAGACCAGTCAGAAATTCAGTATACAGTGGTCCTGGCAAGAGTATGGTGGTGTGGACTAGGATGATATAGTTGAGATTTAGTACTCTAAACAGACATGAACAAGACATTTTGTCCACATCAGTCTCTTCTATTACCCATTTGTACTTTCAGAATCTTTTCAAAGATCTTGTTGATAATAATGACGATCCACTGTTCTTTATTCAGACACCAATGTGCTCTCTGCTAATCCCATCATTTCTTCCATACTTCTGTTCAAATACAGACTTACACCAATTTTCCTCATTGATTTACAACACTGTCCCTGAGTAAACTTGTTCAGAAGTTTTCTTGAAAGAAATGTGTTGCTATCCAGACATCTGAAATCTTACTGAAAGCTTCCAATATTATGCACATTTAATTCTATTTGGAAGTACCCAGCTTGATGGTAAATATTTGGTGGGCCATGTGCTCAATTCCATTTCTCTATTCCATTGGTCATCATTAAATAAACTCAGGAGTTCCTACTGCTCCATTACCAAAGAGTAACATTTTCTTAAAACTGTTAACAAAGGGCATTTAAAACTACTTTGTTTTGGTTTGGTTATTTTGCATGGGATATGATAGCGTTCTGTTTGTGTGAATATGAAATTTGTATTTATATCTGTCAAGAAGGCACTTGTAATACACACCAGTCATGGCCCCTTGAGATAAAACCCAAGTGCTCTCTTCAAGTACAAATAAAACCCACCCAAATAATGTCACCCATGGATTTTATGGTGAATTTAGTCAAAAGAGACTGACATTAGCTCTTTTTTTTTTCCTTTTTCTTTTATTATTCATATGTGCATACAAGGCTTGGTTCATTTCTCCCCCCTGCCCCCACCCCCTCCCTTCCACCCACTCCGCCCCCTCCTTCTCCCCCCACCTCAATACCCAGCAGAAACTATTTTGCCCTTATTTCTAATTTTGTTGTAGAGAGAGTATAAGCAATAAAAGGAAGGAACAAGGGTTTTTGCTGGTTGAGATAAGGATAGCTATACAGGGCATTGACTCACATTGATTTCCTGTGGGTGGGTGTTACCTTCTAGGTTAATTCTTTTTGATCTAACCTTTCCTCTAGTACCTGTTCCCCTTTTCCTATTGGCCTCAGTTGCTTTAAGGTATCTGCTTTAGTTTCTCTGCATTAAGGGCAACAAATGCTAGCTAGTTTTTTAGGTGTCTTACCTATCCTCACCCCTCCCTTGTGTGCTCTCGCTTTTATCATGACATTAGCTCTTATTTAATTTTTAACTAATTCAGTTTTCAGGATCAAGTTGGATTTGTTATAGTTGTTAACTCATACTACAGTTGTTTTTAAAAAGCTTAAAGCTTGCTTCACCTATTTAACTTGGAATAGAATTCAGATATTTTTAAAAAACTGATCTGTGTTTTTTGTTTTGTTTCCTATTTTTATGACAGGGTCTTAATATGTAACCCAGGCTGGCCTTGAATCAAGATCCTCCTGCCTCAGCCTCCCTAGTGCTAGAATAAGAGGTGTGTACCACCATGAACTACCATGCCTGGCCAGATTTTTTTGTTTTAAGTTTGGCCAGTCAAGGAAAGACCAGGTAAAGCAAAACACTTATGAAATATTGTCTTACTCTTTCTCAAATGAAATATAATTTTAATTCTCAGAATCAGAAATAATATCTATATCTGGAAGGCTATAAATTTGTGAAGTAACTAGCAATGGTAAATAGTAGCTAACCGTGGGAAAAAGGGCCAGGCGTGGTGGCGCATGTCTATAATTCCAGTGATGTGGGATACAGAGATAGGAGAATAGTGGTTTGAAGCTATCTTGGGGGGAAAAAATAGCAAAACCCCATCTCAAAGAACAAGCCAGACAGTGGTAGCTTGTACCTGTAATCCTAGCTACAAGGCCAGACAGGGCAAAAAGAGTGAGACCCTATCTGAAAAATAGCTAAAAGCAAAAAAGGCTGGAGGTGTGGCTCAAGTGGTATCACCACACCAGAAGAAAAAAAATGGGGAAAAAAAGTTAAATGCAAGCAGTATGTAGGAATTTGTTTTTATGTTTTCTTTTAATTTTGAATTTTCCTGAAGCCAAAATCAATAGTCTTTCCCCTCAATTCTGTGTTTGATAATTGAGAACAATAGATTGCATTTCTTAAAATGTTAAAAAATATGAATACTGTGCAATTACATGAGAGAAATCTAAACAGACAGTGTGAACACAAGGAGTTTTCATGCTATACCACTGTTTTTGAGAGGGTTAATTTACTCAGCTTTAAGCATCTTAGTTTTAAAATGTGACTTTATGTGTATATTCATACTTCACTCATACTCTCCCAGAATAAATTAAGTAAGAAGGAGGAGGAATGCTTCCTGAGATATCAACATTCTAAGAAAATCAAGACAAAAATGTTGTCTTTGACCTCCATTGCTGGATGTAGGGTGGAGAATTCATTCCATTCAAGACCAGTCCAAATAGTTACATATTTATAAAGCAGCTGGTAATTATCTGTGGTTACTGGCTCTCTTTCCTCCTGCTCTTAAACCCCTATTTCCTTGACTTTGTTCACTGTTGGAATCATTCCCTATCTTCTTTTATGACCACCACAAGTATGATCCTGATGATCTGATCCAGGGAATCACTACCAAAGCCACTGGCCCAGTCACTGGGACATCCAGGTCTCAGATGGTGCCTCAAATAAAATTAATTCTAAGAAAGCCAGAGTTGCTATGCAGAAAACTAGACCAGAAATGGTCATAATGCTAACATTTATTAAACAACTAATGCATGCCAAGAACTTGTCTAAGTGCTTCATGTATATTAAATTACTTAATTTTCACGATAGCTCTATGAAAAGTAGGTACTATTTTTAATCTTGTAGGAAACAGAGGCATATAGGAGTTTTAAAAATGTATACAGTGGTCCAAGTGATTCAAGGGCTAGGATTCAAACTCAGAAATGAGGGCTTCAAAGCCTTTTGTTCTTTACCACTCTGACATACTGCTTTTTTGTTCAAAAGAAATTTGAACATTTCTTGATTTCACCTCTTAGAACCCATTCATGAAATTTCTGGAGATTTGACCTCATGCTGCTCAAAGTCAGAAGTATCCAAGTCACTCTTGCCACTTACCTCCAAAATAGCCCAAGACCTCAAAGACCTTCAGCATCACAGCTGTATTAGTTTTCTATTGTTGTCATTAAAAATAGCAGTAAGTTTTAATGTCAGAAAATAACATACATTTATTATCTAGT